TCTATAATCATCCATTAATCCTTTAATCGTAAGTACCCAAACAAAATCAACAAGATCACATCTCTCCGGTTCTCATCCAACTTCACTGTCTCAGAACAGTTAAAACTCCTCCTTCTCACATTCAAAGCTCTACATAACATGGCCCCCTCCCTCAAACCCGAGTGACCTGCTCCACCCAAACACGCCATCCCGCTCTCTCCGCTCCTCATCTGCTGCTCCCCTCATTGTCCTCACTATCAAAATGCCCACAAGCATTCAGCCACTCTACTCCTGAACTCTGTCCCAACTAAACACCTGCCCAGCCTTACTCCGTCCACATGAACATTTGAAAATTCTCCCGGACCAGGGGACAAGATATGGGCGTGGTCTGGGACGTCACACAAACAAAATCAGACAGTTGTCATTGCTGGCTTAAAGCACTAGTTTACATACCGGAAATTCTCATTCCACCCTTATTTACACACTAAGATAATTGTATAGCTAGACAGCTGAACCTAAGCCACAGAAATCTCAGCAGCAGTAGTGCTCTCAACTGATGTTATCAAATGTTGGCAAGGCAAGGCAAGTTTATTTGTATAGCACAATTCATACACAAGGCAACTCAAAGTGCTGAACAAAACAAGAAAGTATTAAAATCATAAATAATCACAGAACATTAAAAAGAAAGATAAAAATATAAAATCCCTCAGTTGTATGCACAGCTAAACAGAACTGTTTTAACCTGGTTTTAAACATTGTCAGAGAGGATGCCTGTCTCACATCTTCAGGAAGATTGTTCCAGATTTTAGCACCATGAATCTGAAAAGCAGCCTCCCCATGTTTAGTTCTGACTCTGGGCACTAACAGGAGTCCAGTCCCTGTGCTCCTCAGAGTCCGGGCTGGTTCATATGGTACTAACATGTCACTAATATATTTTGGTGCGAGGCCATGGAGAGATGTTAAAGTGCTAGATGTCGCCAGAATACTCCAACTCGCTACGGGGGCGTGAGTGAGACTTGGTTGCTTTTATACCACAGGCGCAGGCGACGGACATCGCACAGCATAAAATGAAGTCACACATTGGCTCTGGAGTGCATCCAGAGCCAATGGAGAGGCCAGGTACCAAATTCAAAAGTAGAGCCACCGAAAATGTAGAGAGGGCACCACAAATATGGTTTTAGGCTCAAGTGAGATTGTATCTAATTTGCAATGAAATGTCAAACAAAATTGACCAGGACATGTAGAGAGCACTATAAGAAACATATGTATGCAGTTTATGGGATAAAAAAAAGTAGATTTGGGGTTTAGTTGTCCTTCAAGAGGCTTTGGACATTCTCAAATCACATCTAAACTAGGGCTGGGATAAACGATTATTTTTTAAACGATTAATCTAGCGATTATTTTTTTGATGCATCGATTAATCTAACGATTATTTTTTTCGCTTCGATTCGATTTCGATTCGATTCGATTCTCGATTATCTCCCCATTAATTGACTAATATTGATGTATACATGTTGATTTAAATATTTTAATGAAAAAAACATGAATTCCTTCACAAAAAATATTTATTGCTTGCTCTTAAAATTCAAAAATAAGACATTCTTAGAGGTAGCATAAAACCTTAAAGCCTTGAAAACACAGCTTACTGAAAAAGTCCATCTTATCATTCTTGAAACAAACATTTGATGCTTAGCATTCAATAAAAATATGAAAAAGTTCAGCCAAATACTTGTGTAGAGCAACTAAAAGAAAACAGTAACCAATGTAAACTTGAAGGCTTTAAGCTAAACAAAGAGTGCTTTTCCAGCAAAAACAGTGGGAGCCATCAGCCTGTCATGGCGTCCTTCCTGAACCAACAGAGTTTAACATTTAAGTTGAAGACACATAGGCCTATATTACTGAAGTCCATTAATTAAAGTGCATCTCTTAAATTCTTCATTCATATAAAAATAACAGTCAAAACTCTGCCACTCACCTTTTTCTTAAACTCAAAATTCAAAAATAAAATTCAAGTAAGAGTGTACAAGAGAAAAACAATGCATTGTGTAGCAAATAAAAAGGTCAACCAGTCATCCTTTCTTTTAGAGTTACTGAAAGAATACAGTAGAAGTCATCTCAGAGGACTTAAAACAACATTGAAGTCACCAACACAGATCAGAGAATCAATCAACAGTTAAACACATTAAGGATATTGAACACATGTTGAAAAATGTCCATATACGGCGGGCATGACAGTGAATAATACATGTAGGGGCTATTACGGGCGCAAATATTCCGTTTGATACAAAGAAAGACAGACCAGTGTCGAGTGTAGAGTTGCCACAGGACGCGTCAGCAGCCTACGTCAGCAGCCTACGTCAGCAGCCGCGGACTGCTATGAAAACATTAGCTTTGTGGTTTCACAGGCGCAGTTGACTGCTTAAACTAAACTTTGCACGAAACTTTGACTCTTAAAACCCACATGTGACAAAACGGAACCATCAACATCTCGCCTCAAATTGCATTAAAAGTGACATTCGTGTCTGAATTCGTTCGTATTTTAACTTTTAAAGAAATTCACGGTCCGCCATCTTGGTTTGCTTCGGCTGCCGTGAGACGCGCATGCACAGGTTTGCATTACATGATAAACAGCTGAGGCTGTGCATCTCTTCAAGGCAGTGTATCTCGGCAGAACACCGGCTTGCACTTCTCTAACACGGCACTCGCATTGCTACCGCTCGCCGCCATCTTTGTTTTGTGTGTGACGCACCGACGCGCATATTATACGTCGGTGTATTTTTTGCGTCGACGTCACCGATTACGTCGACGCGTTGTCCCAGCCCTAATCTAAACCTATTTAAATTGGCCTTTTACTTTATGTATTCTACTCTGTATTTTTTTTGTAATGGGCTTGTTCACACTAAAAAGGTACGAAAGTGTGACAGAAGGCCAAAAATTAGCTTTTAATAATCAGAAGATATATTGTGTTTTTCATTTATCCAAATACCTCTTCAGTCGCTAGAAGATGATTTTTTATACATTAGTCAAGTTTCCTATACTGGTTATGTTTATTTGTGTAACAGACGGGATCCTTTGAGAGAATGAGCTGTGGAAGTTTGTTACATATTTTCAGATGGCCACATTTTATTAAGAGATTCTTTTTAATTATTTTTACAAAGGGTTGAAACAAAGTGATTTCCTTCATGTAACACATTCACATTTTTTGTTTTCTCAAGCTTTCAAAACAAATTGACGGAAACCATCACGTCCTTTACACATTTTTCAAGTCTTTAGATTTGTATTAGGGCTGTCAAACGATTACAATTTTTTATCGAGTTAATTACAGCTTAAATATGAATTAATCGTAATTAATCACATTTCAAACTATCGGCAAAATGATTCCATATTTTTCTGTTAATGGTTGTTTTAATGGAAAGATAAATGACAATATAGTGTACATATGTACTGTATTTGTTTATTATACAATAAATCCATATAAAATGGCATTAACATTATTAACTTTCTGTTTTTCTGTTTAGACTCAGACCAAAACTATTGTTTGTTAGAGATGAGGGACATTTCAAAACAGTCTGAAATGCAGAATGTCATTAAATCAGTTTGATTTGCTCACAACATTACTTTTGGGCACAACCAACATGAACTGGTAGTGCAAGGGAAAATTAGGTACCCCAGCTTTAATTTAGCGATTGCGCTTCGGGAGCAGACACGGAGGAGACTGAGGCTCCGTAGTCCAGCTTCAGCGCTGTATTATTTGTGTGCACCGGTTACGCAAAGACACGTACGCACACTACAAGCAGAGAATAGTTCTGTGCGTAGTCTTGGACATGACGTTCCAGCGGTGTCGTTCACCGTGATCACAGCCGCTGGAGGTGGGGACTGCTGTCCAGAGCGCCCGCAGCTCAGCTCGCAGAGTTCATACAGGGAACAGCAGCAAAAGTGGCCCGCGGTCACGTGTGTATTCTTTTAAAACGTGGATTCCCCGAGGGCCTACCTGCTCTCTTACCATCTTACACAAACATGTGTCCGTGGCATTCTGAGTGTTATTATGGGATGCATGGGCATGCGTCAATCGCATAAATTTTTTTAACACGATTAATGATTTTTTTTTTATTAACGTGTGTTAACGCAATAATTTTGACAGCCCTAATTTGTATTTTAAAAAATGACTCCTTTTTAAATTAAGTGATTTACTTATGTTGTGTTAGCCATGTTAATCTTGTGGGAGTTCATTTGCTGCTTTCAGACACTGATGACCTTTTATTTTCTTTGTAACTGGCATCACAGTTGACATATCATATCTGGTCTTTTTAAATATCGCCAAAAATGTATTAGTCAATCTTTGCTTTTGATTTTATCCACACTATCTCTTTGATTTCTTTTTCTCCAGTCTATGATCATAAATTTAGTTTTTGAGTCATAACCTTTAAAAGACCAGATACTATAATTGACACTTTGCTGTGAACACACCCATATTTTGTGTGATGTTTTTTTTTTATATTTTGTAATGCGTCCTTGGGTGTCTTGAAAGGTGCCATTTAAAGGTCCCATATTACGCTTTTCTTCATGTTTCACAGTCAATCCTATGCACATGTGTGATAATGATTTGAGTGATAGACCATACATTTCAGCAGAATAAAGGAAGGAGGAACGAGCACTCAGAAGGCACACATCAAATAGGATCTATTACTTAAGATAATAGATAATAAATGAAATAATAAGATATTAAAATAAAACTCTGGAGCTATATTTTGCACTTGGATCAAGGATAGTACACTAGTGGAGTATACCCTGTAATCAGCAGGAGGTACTTACAGATGTTTCTATTGTACTTTTGCAGCAGAGAATAAACAATAGTAAAAACAGCAGCAGGTAAAAGTGAATTGTCAGAAAAGAAATATAAGATCAATGGAATATATAAAAACAGAGTTATAATTATATCAAATTATTAACTTGTTACAGCCCTCGTATTAATTGACACTTGTGTTATGCTGGATTAAAATGGGGTTGAGTAGAGTTTTTACCCTGGCAGGTCCTAGAGTTGGCGTCGCTGTAGAAGCCAGGCCCACAGTCTGGAGTGCAGTATCCCTGGAGGAGGAAGCTTCCCTCTGCACAGGCTCGACACTGGCCCAGGCCATCACACATCACACAGTCAGAGGAACAGGCTGAGGACGAGACATACACACAACTCTCAATGCAGCATATCTGTTGTATGTTTGAACAATGGAAGCCTGTTATTTGACCACAGAAATTAAAAAATAAGATTAAAGGTCCCATATTTCGATTTTCTTCATGTTTCACAGTCAATTCTTATACATGTGTGATAATAATTTGAGTGATACACCATACAACACTCAAAACTTGTGAGATTATAGCCATTTTTTGTATAGAGGTGACGTCACTTCGACTCAAACTAGCTGATTCAGGGAGAAGTCTGCTCCTCTGCCTCTGTGAGCCGCCTCCCCACGCCCGCCCGGTGACGTAGCATCACGCTCTGAGTTGTTTTTCACCGGCACATAGTAATTTCAGACATGAGAATAAACTTTTTCCAACAATGACAATCCGTAACACTGAGCCCTATGTCCTCGATGCACAATCAGACCCTAATTATTTAGTTTACAGAAGTTTTTGACTTTTGACTTTTTGAGTAAGTCCAGTTCCATTGTCCCTGTAGTTCTGGAACAGTATTAGTGAAGTGTCGCAGATGAACAGATTCAAACAAACAGAGGCAGATCCACATGAAAAAGTCGAGCCGCTCTCTTCCTCTTCGGGCCAAATAGTGTGTCACATATTTACACCCAAAACACATTTTATCCAAGTTGACGTGATCCTAACACTTTTAGTTGCAGACAAAAGCAGAAAAACAGTAGCTCCATGAGGTGTCCGCGGGATCAAACCACAGACATACGCTAGACTGGCTGCGCGCTCTGATTTGCTGTTTCGAACTGTCAATCACCCGGCTTTTACTATTTTTATTATTTTTTTTATCATTTTTGACAACAAACAGCATACTTATTGTGTATTCTTTACCCTGTTTTGACAAAAGTATTTAAAAACCATTTTAAATGCAAAGCAAACGGGGTTATACGCGTGATATTCGTCATCAGAGTGGTAATCGTCACAGATGTGGACCCGGAAGTTTCACTGCCTCTCGAGGGTGAAGGAGACAGATCTCTCCCTAACTAAAGATTGACAGAATCAATGAAAAAACTACTCTGGGCATGTGTATAAAAGCCAGATAGCACTGTAATCATGTTTAAAGCAGAGAAAAGTCAAAATGCGTAATATGGGCCCTTTAAGTGATCATCACCGATTAAAGAACTGTAAGAATAAGGAGCACACAACACAAGATAAATTAGCAACTCTAACTGTAGCATAATAAAGAAGCAAGTATAAAATCTCTAGCTTTAGCATAATAAGAAGTAAGTTTAACATACTGTATATTCTAGTGCAAGAAATATATAGTCCTATGTATACATCAGTTATGTTAGAGAGGGTATGAAATGCTCAAAACTACAAAAAATGAAAATGTTTAAACAGGCCGAAAAGATCTCCACAATGCTATGACTTTTGTGCTATCAACACCCTCTGAAAAGCATCATGTCTTTTCCATAGGTCTGCTTACCTTTGCAGACTTGTGTGTCGGGGTCCGGGTAGTGTAGGGGTCCACACTGCTCCACACATAGGCCCCTGAAGACCAACAGCGGAGAGGCACAGAGCTGGCACTGATTCGGCCCCAAGCACTGCTCACAGTCTGGGTCACACGCTGAGAGAGAGAAGAAGTCATTGCCACAACAGGAATTAGGTAGAATATATTTGTAGGTAGGGGTACTACATTTGACTTTAATTTAGTCTTAAACCAGATGCTTCAGGCCTTGACGTTAAGCTTTGTCAGTCACTTGCCCTTTGGGCAAGTACCATTTATATTTTACTTGCCCAATGTCAAAAGTTACTTGCCCAAATATTTATCAATACAATAATTTAACAAGAGATTGGCAATGAAGTGGCACTAACTGTGGAAAAAATCCACTCTCAGCCAAAAAAGTCAAAAAATGACTCACAGAGCTCTTAAGTATGCAAAATAAAAAACAAGACGCCTGTCGTGGTGTGTTCTGTTTGATTTCTTCACAACATTTTACTTTTTTGCACAACCAACATGCATTTTTAATGCAAGGGGAGATTTAGGTACCTGAGCTTTAATTTTGTGAGTTTTGGTTGCGCATAGGTAGGAGACACGGACGAGACCTGCACTTGCAACAAGCTGGGGATCGTCCTGAACGCTTGTCAATGGTTCTGTCCGCACGTCCTGTCCACGCGTCTGGTCCTGTCCGCATGTCTATGGTCCACGTGTCTATGGTACTCGCGTCTATGGCCCTGTCCGCGTGTCTATGGTACGTGATTCTATGGTCCGTGATTCTATGGTCCGTGCATCTATGGTCCTGTCAGCGTGTCTATGGTCCGCGTGTCGATGGTCCGCGCATCTATGGTCCTGTCAGCGTGTCTATGGTCTGCGTGTCGATGGTCCGCGCGTCTATGGTCCTGTCAGAGTGTCTGCGTTTCTATGGTTCTATCCACGTGTCTATGGTCCGCGCTTGGTACCACGTTATGGCTGTGCGTCACTGAGCTGTTGCCAAAGCGGCCGCTGCTGCTCCCGGGGTCAGAGCAGAGGATGCAAATCCCGTTCGAGTCCGTACAGCAAACAACAGAGAATTGGTCAAAAGATAATCAGACGTGTCCGCTCCAGGCTCCAGAATGTGTTCGCGGCCTGAATGGGTTAGGGTTAAAGTAATACATCACTTGCCCGACCAGGCAACTTGCTAAAACAGCGCACTTGCCCGTCCCAAATCTTTAGTTGCCCCGGGCAAGCGGACAACTGAGATGCTTGTCATTGTCTTTGTTCTAATGCTGTAAGAATATCCATCCAATCGGGCGGTGGCAGTCAGAGCTGCACCCAGTACACATAGCACCAGCCCCTCACTGATCCTCCTGCAGGTGGTGAGTCAACATGAGCTGAGATCTTTCAGCGGGGGCTTCAGGCAAAGTGGGGTTAAGCGTCTTGTCCAAGGACACAACAACGTCAGTCATCAGCGGGAGTCGTGAAGTAGGTCTTATGGTGGGCTCAAACCCACGACCTTCAAGCTCAAAGGCCAATGCTCTACCAACTGAGCCACTGTTGCCCCAAGAGACACCCAAGCTGTGAGAATAGTATTTTATAATATACAGTAAAGTTCTTGATACTGCATCTAAATTCATTTTTTCTAAGTAGTATACCAACATAAAGTCTACTACTATAGAGGCATGAAATAGAAAGCATTCTACACATCAACAGAATCAACAAAATCTTAATTAGTCTCTTGATCTTGAATGTATGTGTCTTGAATAGTAGTATTTTAACATAATTAAATTAAAAGCATAACATAAAGGAGGGTTTACTCCTATCCATCTAAAACATTCTGTACAATCTTCTTCATGGAAAATGTGTGCCTTAAGGCTATTGTAAGTATTATATTTGTTTGTGTTAATAAAGGTTTATGATGAGAGAAAAAAATAAATTAAGTAGCAATAGTTGGACCAGTAAAATAAAGTAGTTGTAATAGTAGTAGGAGCAGCAACACGAGTAGCAGTAACAGTAGAAGTCATGTCATTTTGAGAACTCTGTGGAGTCCTCTGAAATAACTACTGTTGTTATATAGGGCTATATCAAAAATAGATTAAATTGAATGGAATTGAACAGTAGCAGAAGTATAATATAATTCTGGCCTATATGTATATAACTTCACACTATAAAGATAGATCGAGATATATTAATCTATTGATATTGAAGCATTAACAGCTGGCTAAGAAATATAGCAACTACTTCTATTAATTGTTGTACTCCCTGTGTGCTCTTAAAACTGTCCTGTATGTGTGCTGCAACAATGAAATTTCCCCACTGTGGGATGAATACAACTTCTAGCAGCAGCAGTAGCAGTAGTAGCATTAACAGTAGCATTAGCAGTAACAAAAGTAGTAGTATTAGCAGTAGCATTTGCAGTAGCAGCAGTAGTAGTAGTAGTAGTAGTAGCAGTACATACCCTGGCAGTGGTCCCCCTCTCTGTAGTGGCCCCTGGAGCAGTGCTGGAAGCAGAGTCCGTCCTGGAGTACATGGCCCTCCATACACTGCACACAGTCAGACTTGAGGGGCCCTCGGCACGAGTTACAGCTCCAGTCGCACTCTGTGCACACACACCACACAGCAACGTGTTAGAGCAAAACATTGGCCAATGTTTGATTTCATTGCTTGATGTGCTGTCCAAAAGTTTTTAACGTTGACAAAATCATATCTTGTTCCAAGGTGAATTAGAGTTCCGCAAGACAATCAACAATGTGATATAATACATTTTTTCATTTAAACATCACTCAATATTTGACGAGAATATTCTTTTGCTTAAATCTGAAAATGCAAGTTATAAATTCCTTTCTCTAATAACTGCCTGGACCCAAAAAATGCGACAGTGACATCCCTAATCTGCAGAATCCTCACGTTATTTACTCGATCCCATTTCTTATCTTTAATTTCTATTTTCAAAGCCTCATAAAAGACTAAGTAGACGGTCTTTGATAAATAAACCAACAAAATTAAGCTGAAATGAAAGTCGGGCTGCAGTAAAGCTCCCTGCTCCCATAAGGCTCACCCGAGACGTGTTTTTCTCCCGAAAAGTTCTCCCAAATTCTCCCAAAAGTTCATTTTGCTCTGAGATTTGGGCTTAAACACCCACAGTTCAGACAGGGTCGACTGGATTTAAAACACTAAATCACTTAAGGTAAAATAAAAATAGGACACCAGCAGCACCAGTTCAGCCCATAATCGTATTTGCCGCAATCTCATCAAATGTCTTTGTTATGTGCTGTAGAAATGATATCCTGTCTGCATTGTGAAGCAAAAGATGCCGTTTACAATTACAAATGCCTTATTATAACATTCAGGAATAGAGTTTGTTACGTTAGTCGAGTCTGAGCAGTCTGCATATTCAAGTCATTATTTTTAGATCAGAGGTCATCAATGTACATTTGATATTTACAAAATTATTAAAACACTGCCAATTAAAAACAAAAACATCAATAAGAGGAAAAAGCTGCTAATTACTAATCATACTGAAATCCATACATAACAAATGATGGCTTTCCCAATATGTTCCTGATTATATTTTAATATAGGAATAGGTTTTATTTATAATTCAATTAATTAATTATACAACTGGGGCGACAGTAGCTCAGTTGGCCTTTGGGCTGGAAGGTCGAGGGTTCGAGCCCACCACGACTCCCACTGATGTCTGCTGTCGTTGTGTCCTTGGGCGAGACACTTAACTCACTTTGTCTATGGAGCGCGGAAGTGATGTTCGCTGCTTGCCTTGATGTGTATGTGTATATATGTGCATGTGTATGCATCAAACTGAAATTTCCCCATTGTGAGACGAATAAAGGACCTTCCTCTTCTTCTTCTTAAATAGAAGGATAGAATAGATATCATAATAATAAATAGAATAGAAGGAGTGCAGAGTGAAAAAAGCTTTTTTGCAGCATAAATACCTTACATTTTGTATACCGTGGGAAAAGTATGTGAACAAAACAGACGGAAACATGCCGTCTCTTCAGAAATCATCATGGGCCCTAGCTTGTTGTCAAGGAGAAAGCCCAAACTTGTATCCGGGAGAGATCACCTGCAAGTTCTTAAAGTTCTCTCACTAATCAGCGCTCAGAACGGTCTTGAGTTTCAGACAGTAACAGTTCACAGAAGCGACTGCATTCATCTCGACGGCAGCGACTGCATCACGGTTCTGCATGTTTTCAGACGCATTAGGAGTGTTTCACATGTTATCATTTACATCTGGAGAGACTAGACCAGGACAGGGCAATTATTTTCTGCGGGGGGCCACAATGGGATAATGCCCTATTGTAGAGGACGGGACCAGTTTATTTATTTATTTTCAGAATTAAAATTAAAAAACAAAATATATGTAAATGTTCTGTTTTGTAAAGATATTCAGTGTTTTCTTTGTGTTTGTGGACATTTTGTTTATTGAAAATTATTACTCACAGCACGTTCTTAAACCTCTCTCACTAATCAGCGCTCTGAAGGGGTTTGAGTTTCACAGTTCGCAGAAGCGTCTGCATTCATTTGGATGGAACTCCATCAGTTCTGTAAGTTTTCAGACGCATTAAGAGTGAAAATTATTACTCACACCACATTCTTAAACCTCTCTCACTAATCTCACTTATAATATTCTGGGTTCATCAATTGGAATAGAATACATGTAGCACATATTAAGTTTACAAGCCTTTATTGAGTATCGACTCATGATTCACTAAAAATAAGCAACAGACCAGTTTGAGGTTTATGGCTGGAAACAGTCCGGGGCCGCATAGACATGTGAATTTGTTTGGCACATATAGACCCCGACAGTGACGCTGGGTCAGGGAAGATCATGGCTTGGGTCTAGGCACTGTTGGCGGCATAGGTCATGGGATGAGAGCGTTATGCCTAGAGGGCCAGAGGTGTTGGTTGCAAGAGATTGAAGAGGCATTAGTTGGCAGGAGTTTCTGGTATTAGATTTATGGTTTGATTGACGTAGGTTTGCAGCGAAGTTGGCAGCGCTGTGTCAACTGTGTGTATGTGAGGTTTGGCCTTGGATGCGACTACTGCAGGTAGTCTGACCAGATTGACATTTAAGCTGCATATCAAGTCAAAATCATCAAATCATACCAAGTTAAAAATAGTACCTTCCGAGTCCAGAAATACTCCTCTCCGGCCACAGGTGCTCTCAGATTGCATTGAAAGCCAATGAGCTTTATCCATATAATCTATATTAGAGGGCTGCAGACAATTTGAGGGGCAAAAAAAACCCTGGCTGTGTGCAGTGGAAGTATGAATTGGTCTTTGTTCAGTTTGAAGTCTTGAGCGAGTTCTACGTCATGGTGCTACGTCCCTTAGGACTTCGCTAGTGGGATATCACTCATGACCCCCAGGTCACACGCCAGAGAGATCAAAATAATTTGCTCCAATCACCAGCCACCCTCCTCTATAAATGCCCCTGCACAAGGCCACACCCCCTCTTTCACTCTGGCGCCGTTTGAGATCTACCACAGTACTTACTTCATTCTGAGATGTCTTCCTTGTTCGTCCGAGTTCCCTTCGCCCTCCGGCGTCGGACGTCGTCGCTGGATCCAGACGGTGGAGGACTTCACCTCTGTGGGTGCCACCACTCGAGGAAGGAGGAGGATGCAGCCCACGTTGTGCCCGCGGATGGACCCTTCGTCCATTACGCGACACGTGAGTGGCCAAAGCCCCTAGCAGCCAAGAGGCCTGCTCTGGGGTACGACATGTACTGCAGCGGGCAGGACTGGTCCTGGACCGGTGATCGAGGATTCAGTCCGCATGGCCCTGCAGCCCTCCGCATCCGTGTGGCCCGACACCAGACCTCTCCTTCCCTCCGAGCGGGACAGGATGTCGTGCCGATGCTGGATAGATGTTATGCCAATGCGGCACAGGTCGTCACATTGGCTAACATGACTTTCATCACGGGGGCCCTGGATAGGTCGCTCTCCTCTGGCCAGGCGCTCAGTGGAGACCTCCTGTCACAGAAGAGGACCACCTCGGCGGCGATCCTGCGCATGTGCCAGACGCTAGCCGTGGATGGTGGCCCGGACACTGAGGATTCAGTCCGCATGGCCCTGCAGCCCTCCGCATCCGTGTGGCCCGGCACCAGACCTCTCCTTCCCTCCGAGCTAGGGCTGCAACTAACGATTATTTTGATAATCGATTAATCAGGCGATTATTTTTACGACTAATCGATTAATCGGTTTATGTACTTATATTTTAGTTTTGCCAATTTTTTTCCAAGTAAATTGTTAACAAAGGGCCTTCATCATTCAACATAGACTTTTTAGAGATTTTAACCATTTTACATATTCATATCCACATCAAAAACATATCTGGAGCTGTTTATTATGTCTTTGTAATCCTTTGTTGAACTCAATGTCGACCATCAAAACAAAACACTGACCATTACATACTCTAGCAAATTTCACAAGGAGATTTCCAATAATGTTTTCACCATGAAAATCCTTAGGTCTTCTGAAGTGGTTTAAAATCCCGAACAAGGCTTAATTAAGTTGATAAACTGGATAAATGGTATTTTTTTTTACATCTTTGTGCAAATTAGTTGAAAGATCAACTTTATGCCTAAAACAGTGAGTGTGGCGCCATCTTTTGCAAACAGTCAGTATTGCAGAGAGATGGTTTAAGGTGCTCACACAGAGACGTAGTACTCCCGTGCCAGGCCAAGTCAGTAGCGCAGAGTTTACAGGTTACTCTTCTTTTTTGAAGGTTCAAAGTAAAGTGCTCCCACACTTTGGATGACTTCGTTCGATTAGGTTTGTCTTCTGCTTTTTTCCTTTTCTTTCTCGAGCTTACTCCACTGCCGCTTGCCTCCGCCATCTTGCTGTATGCTGAAGAGAAGCTGTGCGCGAAGCATGTGACATAAAAGGAGGCCAGCTATTGGCTATTCGCTACTTCTCCTGCTGTAAAACCTCTGGTGGCTCATTACTGCCACCATTTGGTCACCGCAGAGTTAAAATATGCACGAAATGAGCCGCCTACGGCAAAATAAAAGTTATTTAGCAACTAATCGATGACTAAATTAGTTGACAACTATTTTAATAATCGATTTTAATCGATTAAATCGATTAGTTGTTTCAGCTCTACTCCGAGCGGGACAGGATGTCTTGGCGATGCTGGATAGATGTTATGCCAATGCAGCACAGGTCCTCGCATTGACTAAACAACATGGCATTCATCACGGGGGCCCTGGATATGTCGCTCTCTTCTGGCCAGGCGCTCAGTGGAGACCTCCTGTCACAGACGAGGACCACCTCGGCGGTGACTCTGCGCATGTGCCAGACGCTAGCTGTGGATGGTGGCCGCTCCATGGCAGCAGCCCAAGTCGGGGCCAGGCACCTTTGGCTTGGGCTGGCTAATATCAGGGAGGCGGAGAGGAGGCAGCGGCTGGACCTGCCCATCTCTCAGATGTCCCTCTTCGGCCCGGACATGCAGGCCTTGGTGGCGAGACTGGAGTCTGCAGCTAAAGACTCGGCTAGGCTAGCCCCGCACCTAGCACCGAGGCGCGAGGCCCACCAGCCATTACGGAGCCGGGACAGAGGCAGAGAGCGTTCGCCC